AGTGTGAACTATATTTTCTGTTTTCAAAGGGGTTTATACAGATGCATTTGGAATTTCATTGGGTGCATTTAAACTGCTATTTATGGCAATGTCCGAGATAAAACGTTTTTAAAACAAGAATAAGTTGAATAATAGCAGTATCTTTTTTTTTTCCTCCGAAGTTTTTCTTTTAGGTTTGACATATTCAAAATTAAGTTAAAAGGAAGGGGAATACATTGAACACAAAATTAATTTTTTTTACCCTCACCTGAGGACATGCTTATTGATTTTAGAGAGAGGGGAAGGATAAGAGAGAGAGAGACATTGACATGAGAAAGAAACATCGATTGGTTGCCTCCCATCCACAACCCAACTAGGGATCGAACCTGCAACCTTTTGGTGTATGGGACAACACTCCAACCAACTGAGCCACACTGGCCAGGGCAAACACAAAATTAATTATAAATGGATTATAGGCCAAAATGTAAGAGTTGAAACAATTTAAAAATCTATAAAACTTTTTGAGGAAAACAAAGAAATCTTTGTGACCTTGGGTTAGGCAAAGCCTTGTTAGATATGGCAACAAAAGCACAAGTGACAAGAAAAATAGACAAATTGGACTTCATCACAAAAGACCACGTCAGATTTAAAGCTTTTATGCTGCAAAGGATACCTCCAAGAAAGTGAAAAGTCAGCCTACAGAATGGGATAAAATATTTGCAAATTGTATAACTGATAAGGCACTAGAATCTAGAATATATGAAGAATTCTTACAACTCAACAATAATAAGATAAATATACCAGTTAGAAAACAGGAAAGGACCTAAACAGACATTCTCCAAAGAAGATTTAAAAATGGCTAATAGCATGTGAAAAGATCCTCAACACTCTTAGCCATTAGGGGAATACAAATCAAAATCAAAACTATAATGTGGTACCACTTCTCACCCACTAGGGTGACTATATTTAAAAAGACAGACAATAATAAGCATTAATGAGGATGCGAAGAAATTGGGACCCTCATAATTGTTGGTGGGATTGTAAATCATGCAGCTTCTTTGGAAAACAGTTTGGCTCCTCAAAATGTTAAACCTAAAGTTACCATATAAGCCAGCAATTTTCTTCTTAGATATATATACAAGAGAAATGAAAACATATGTCCACACAAGTCCTGCAAACAAATATTCCTAACAGCCAAAAAACAGAAAGAACCCAACTATCCACTAACTGGTGAAGGAATAAATAAAAGGTAGTTATCTATACAACGGAAAATTATCCAGTCATAAAAGGGAATGAAGTACTAATACATGCAACAACATAGACGGACCTATAAAACATGCTGAGTAAAAGAAACCAGTCACTAAAGACCACATATTATAAGATTCCATTTATATGAAATGTCCAAATAGGCAAATCTATGAGACAGAAAGTAGATCACTGAATGCCTAGGACAGGGGTGAAAGAGAATGAGGAGTGCCTGTTAATGGGAATGGGTTTCCTTGGTGGGTGGGGGTCATGATAAAAATGTTCTAAAATTAGATAGTGATGATAATTGTACAACTCTATGAATACACTAAAAACCTTTGAATAGTAGTACCCTTTAGATGGGTAAATTATCTGACATGTCAATTAGTACAATGTAGGGAAAAAAAGAAAGAAAAGTTAAAAATCAAGAGGATCAACCTTCAAAGTAAGTTTGAGGTGGCAAATAGAATGTAATATTTCTATATTTAGCTTTGATAGTCTAACTTTAGCAAGAGCCTAGACTTGCAAGATTATACTTAGCATTGCATCCTCAGACATAGAGGATTTGCCCTTTCTTTGCAAGAACCACTTTTATTGCTTTTGTTTTAAAAATGCATAATGTATTTAGAGTACATTAAAAATTAGAGTCTCTTACTTCCATTTTATGTGGTGCCTATATCTAGTGTCCCCAAAGTATTTTTTTGCTACAGGTGTCAACAACATAAGGATGAAGGACTTTGTTCCCGCTACCATGTCCCTCACAAGTGTAATAGCTGGGTGTCCAGACTGTGAGATCAGACTGCCTGGACTCTTTTGGGCAACGTGCATTTGGGAGAGGTTCTCAATCTCAATTTTCCTATCTGTAAAGTGTGTGTGTGGGGTGGTGGAGGTGGGGATAGAGAAACTAATACTACTTACTTCATAATGTTGTTCCAAGAATTAAAGAAAATAATGCATGTAAGGTACTCAGCACATTTTCAAGTGTATAGTAAAGGCTCAAATTATAATTGTTAGTAATTATGATTATAATATAGCAAGTTAGTAATAGGGGGTTGAGATTATTAAGAAATGGGTGAAAACAAGTTGCAATGTGATTTGAGAATTGAGTATTAGCATCTTAAAAGCACGTGAGAGTTGTAAGGAAGTATAATATTCTCAGTTTCATAAATATTAGGCAACATATTGGATTATTTAATCAAGCTATTTGGATAGTTTTCAGCATTTACTGTTTAGAAAGCTTGTTATAGATAAGGCTGTGAAGTTTTGTATTTTTCAGAGAACAATATGTGATTTAAGCTTGCTACAGAGAGCTGATATTTCAGGCTACATTTTTCATCAGTGGTATCTTATAACTTGTCACTTTACAACTCATGCCTTTAATTGGAACAAGAGTCTTTTTTTCCTCCCTTGAGGTTTATTAGCAATATTTCTTCTATTGAAAGTAGCAGGGACATTTTAAATATTTTTAAAACTATTTTAATTTCTTAGGAGAAAGGGAGCTTTAGTGAAAATAGTTACTTATAAGATAATAATTGATTTGAGATGTAAAAGAATTATCATTTTGAGCTTTATTTGTATACTTTAAAAATGGTCTTTAAAACTTTCCTGGATTAACCCAAATTCTAGGAGAGAAGAAAAGGAGAGAAGGAAGTTGAGAGTGCTTACAAGTTTTTCCCCTTTCCCCAAATTTTATTCCTATTTTTATGCTATCTTAATAGGTAAATTCTCTGAAGAGCATAAGTGAACCTCATAAATTCACAGCCATACAATTCCCCTATGTGTAGATTAACTTTAAATATTCTTATTGTATTAGTGCTTGGTGATCATAAAAATCTGTTTGAAGAAACCAGGGATCTGTACATAGGATAAAAATTATTATGAACAGGCCAGCCCCACTCCCCAGACTACGGCAGGAGTAATTAAATTACTTAGTCTGTGCTTCATTTTCCTCACCTTAGAAATGAAATAATAATACCTTTCTCATAGAGTTGATGTGAGGATGAAATGAGATCACACATGTAAAATGCACCAAGCACAGAGTAAAATATCAAGTTTTAGCTCTTAACAGTGTTGTGGTAGTAGCCAGAAAGAGGTAAGTTGTAGGATATATCTGGAAGATGCAGCTATTAACAGCCCTTGGTAAAGAGAAAAGGTTTTTAAAGCATGGAGATCTTCCAAATTGCACTTAAGCTATTTTCAAAGGGGCATGAAGAATGTGGTCAAAAACTCCCTGTCTGTTGTCTTCGTAGGAACCAAAAGAGCCAGAGCTTATAGAAGGCGGTGGTGTGTGTGTGGCAGGGAGGGAGGCAACAGAGAAATAAGTGACTTTGAGGAGTGGGGGCTGGATTTAGAAATAAGAAAAGCACCAGGCTTGCTGCCACATGCCTGTAATGTAACTCTTTTACTTCTCTGTTAAGGAATTGATTTAAAATCTGCTCAGAAATTAGTAAGATCACATTCAGCCATGTTACATACTCTGCCTGGCATGCAACAATATTTAAATCTTATTAAATACTGGAAATTAACTAATAATTGACTTCTATCAGAAGGCACTGTTTGAGTTAAAGGGTTGATGTCAACAGTCTCATTACGGAGTTAGAAGCGGGGTTTAACTCCTGGCACTACCACTTAACAGAGGTGTGAACTTGTTAAGTCATTCCACCTCTGAAATGGTTTCACCATCGGTGAAAAGGGGAAAGTACCTACCTAAAAAGTTGTTCAGATTAAGGTTATTCATAGCTCCCGGATCACAGAGATGCATTTTCTATTAAATTTTGTGTTAATGTTAAAAGGTTTAAAAATTATGACGACAGCGTTACCAAATACGCGTGAATCTGCACTGACACTCAGTTACCTTAACAGACGTTAATATTCTCAACTAATATCAGTGCTTTTAGTATGTGACAATCCGCTGACATTTTCCTCCCCTCATTGCACCCCTCAGCACACCACACACTCAGATGCTCTAAAATGTTATTTCTTGAGCACATGTTACTATCATCTAATCCTCGGCTAGCTGGACACTAATGGACAATGGGATTGGCTCTGGACAAGTGTTTCTAGAAACGGTGCCTTTTCGAGGCTTGCCCTGTATCTAGCTGGAGCCGCACCGTCAGGAGTTAACAGTAATTAAAGCATCAGTAGCAAAACCGTGTTTCTCACCCAGGGAAGGCGCGCAACACTCCCATGTGATAGTTCGACTTGTTCTTCACGTCCCTGCGAGAGGAAGCGTATTCTGCCTCACGTTCAACACTGTCGGTTCATTATTCGGGGTACAGGAGGGCGACGCCAGCAACTGAGCAGCGAGGGGCTTGAATTGAAACAGGTCGGGTGCTGCTGGGTGAGGCCAGGGCGGCACCTCAGCAACCCCCGAGCCCCGGAAGTTTGCGAGTCTCCAGCTGTAAGATCTGGAGTCACCTTGACCCTCCCGGAAAGGTGGGGAAAGTTAGTCGGAGACGGGGCGAGTGAAACCAAAGACAGAGAACTTTCGGGAGCAAAATACGCCGTCACGTTTTCCTGTTTTCAGTAGAGCTCGAGACTCGAGAGAGTTTAAGGGTGGCAAGAGCAGGTGGCAGGGCTCCGCCCACCACCATGCTTCCCCTCCCCTCACTGGCACGCTGCACTCTCTCCGTCAGGTCCCACCTCTCAGGCGCGCGCGAAGAGTTGTCGCGCCGTGCATTCTGGGAATTGTAGTCCTGGTGCCAGGAGCCGCCTCGGTAGAAGCGACTCTAGCCTACATACCCCGTGATGCCCTGCGGCGCTCGCCGCTCCCGGATGTGTGCCTGGCGCCGGAAGAGAAGACGGCCCCCCTCTTTCGGCCCGGCCATCTTGTGGGAAGAGCTGAAGCAGGCGCTCTTGGCTCGGCGCGGCCCGCTGCAATCCGTGGAGGAACGCGCCGCCGAGCCACCATCATGCCTGGGCATTTACAGGAAGGCTTCGGCTGCGTGGTCACCAACCGATTCGACCAGTTATTTGACGACGAATCGGACCCCTTCGAGGTGTTGAAGGCGGCAGAGAACAAGAAAAAAGAAGCCGGCGGGGGCGGTGTTGGGGGCCCTGGGGCCAAGAGCGCAGCTCAGGCCGCAGCCCAGAACAACTCCAATGCGGCAGGCAAACAGCTGCGTAAAGAGTCCCAGAAAGAACGCAAGAACCCGCTGCCGTCCAACGTTGGCGTGGCTGACAAGAAAGAGGAGACGCAGCCGCCCGTGGCGCTTAAGAAAGAAGGTAAAGCCGTGGTAGAAGGTGGGGAAGACCCAGGATGAGGGAAGGAGCGGGGCGGACTTGCGACTACCACTTGCTTCCCGAGCTCCGAGCGTCCGCGGAAGGTTTTGCCGCCTATCTTTCCCCACACGACAAAAGCGAGGTCCTGAGAGCGTGGTAGCCCCAAGTTCAAACCACCACCTGCAAGGTTCCTGGAGCCACCCCCTTCGCGCCTCGGGTTCTGAGCGGAGGAGCGTGGTCTGGAGATAAGCTGTTCCTCAGCGAGCTTGGGATCCCGGGAGGTGGTTGTCTTCCCGCCGGACTCCTCAGGCGGGCGCATGGACTGAGGTTACGGGGAAGCATGGGGTCCCCCAGCTTCCTCCTGTTCAGAGCTCTCCCTCAGTGTGATGTTCTGAGGTGCAGTTGTCTGGTTTAGGCTTCTGTCCTGCCATCTTGTCCCACGATGGCGCGGAGTACCCCAGTGAAAAGCCGAGGGTCGGAGCTTATACCAAGCCCCTTCTCTGTTCGAGGTTACCAGATACTGTGGGGTAAGCTCCTGTTTTAGGTGTCACATGCGCCTTATTGTTCCCCCCGCACCTCAACAATTTTGAACTTAGTAAGTTGCTGGAGCGAGTTAAGCTGTTGGGAAGGAGAGAAATGTGGCTACATTCGATTAAGCAGAAGCGGGAATTCTGAATGAAGAGGGATTATTTGAGGAAGTCCCGAGGCTCGTCCTCTTGTCACGACCCTTTCTCCGTCTCCCGCACTCAGTTTCGGGTGGCGTGGCTCGGCCCGGCCCTCGTGGTGAAATGAGTGCAGAGGCTGTCATGTTAGCCGGAGCAGGGAGCTTTTTTGAGTGTAGCTTTTTCTCCACATGTGCGGGAAGCATGGTCAGGATTTCATTGGCGGGTAATAGCTGCTTCCAGGTCACACTGTAAACTTCACAGGAGTGCCTTAAGCTTGAATTTTGCTTTCTCACTCCTCACGGGTTTGTCTTTTGTGGTGAGCGAAAAAGCAAAACAGTTGAGGACAAGAAAAAGCATACGTGATGAGGAGCAAATAGGTGTAGGACTCTTGGTTGGTTTCATACATTTAAAGTTGAAATTTTGCTTTGCTGCCACGTGCTCCGGAAGGGAGTTGCTCATTAGCTTTAGTTGAATTCGTTAACGTTCAACTAATTAAAAAAAAAAGAAAAGAAAACAATTGTGTTATGTTTTGGATTAGGGTTTTTTGTTTTGTTTGTTTTTAATGAGAACTTCTGTGAGGCTTGGCGTGAAGAACCGAGGTGGTGAATAAAACAAAAGAATTCTTGTATTAAAATTACAGGTTTGGGGAAGCACAAGTTGGAGTATTAGAAAAGCATGTATACATCCCTCAAGCCAAATATCTATTTCGTCAACTAAGCTTTATAGCAACCTGTAGCACAACTAAATAAATAAGGAGCACTGGCTTGACTTGTGTAATCATTTAAACTGCTCAACTTTACCTCTTTGATTAGACTAGTCCCAAGAAAGCACGTGAAAAAAATTGAGTCTGAAGTATAAATCTAGAACGTACAAGGTAGGTGTGTTCACCCATTTTGAATGTTCAAAGGATGAAGCATGTTTGAAATCCCCCATTGTTTGGATCTTAAAGCCCATCTTTGAAACAAGCTCTTACCTGGGAACTACAATTTTAAGTTACAAAGGTTGGGAATTTCATAAATTTATAACCAAGACTGAGTTTGCCATTCAGTAGTCTTCCCTTGGGAAACCTCCCATATTAGGTACCAACATTTTCCTTAGATCAGTGTTTCAGAGCACGCTTAACTTTAAATTGCATAAAACAAACATAAATAAAGGGAAAATGTTGAATGAAAAATACTGGTTTGAGATCCTGCTGTCAGTTGATGTTCTGGGCATTGGGGAAGGATAGACCTGTAAACAGTCTCTTTTGTAGTGGAAAGGATTGTTACCCTGGTCATGTGTTAATGTACTTTTGAAGATAGGTCCTAGCACAGTGTTAGACATACCCTAGATATGTATTTAATGTTAATATTATAAGAATTAGCTTTGTAGCTCGTTTTTTGTCCATTTGAAGAACTTGAGAATTGACACCACAGAAGTGATAACTTGTAGACCAAGGTGTTGTGTGCGTTTTTTGTTTGTTTAATTAAAAGCCTGGACTCTAGTAAAAATAAAGTGAGCTTGCAAGTACAGATAAATATATCAAGAGAAGCATTTTTAAATGTCGATTATGGGGTGAATATATTTGGTAAGTTTTTTAGATTCTATAAGCCTAATATTGAGTATTGGGTGGGGAAGCAAGCCATTGTTCATTTGGGTGTGTTTGGCTTGGATATCATTATAAAAGACTGGTTCCATAGCTCCACCCCAATACACTATAGCTCTGACTAAATTTATTTAAGTGCCTTGGTAAAAGATGTAACAATGTGCCTATCCTGAGAGTTTATGTGGAATGGACTTTAAAATTTCATTGAAGAGTTTGATATTTACTGTTTTTTTACTCTAGTTACAAGCACCTGGACAATTTGGTACATTTTGATGGTGTTCCACTTTCTTAGAAAGAACCAGGGTGAATCAACTTAAGATCTTGTTATAAAAACAAGTTCCTCAGCTGCTATTTGACTTTGTCAGAAATTGTGGTTTGGGAATTAAGGCGTACCTGAAATTTTTGTCATGAGTTTAGCCATCAGTCTACTTATTTTTAAGGCCACCAGTAATGCATATTGGTTGCTTCATGAGCATTAGACACTAACAGGAGAAAAGTAATAAAGGAAGAAATCAGTAAATGCACTGGTAAGAGAAACCAAAAAAAAAGCTCTCCATCTGAGTATTTTAGATGTTGCATAACAATTTTTTTTGTTAGGTGTAGTGTGTATATATACATATATATGTATACATATATAAAAACTAAATGGAGGATGGTGCTTTTTTTCTGGTTAAATAGCTATTTCAAACTATGGAGATGCAATCTTAAGTGCTATTTGTTTTCCATTTAATTTTGTAATTTCATAGAATTATCAGTCGTTTTACTCTTTTGAGGGTTCTTTCCCCCTCCAGATTATGTAAATTAAAAGTGTGGCCTTTTAAATTTTTTTGAGGTTCCTTATCTGATGAATGTGTGTGGATTTGCTTGGTTATTATTTATGAATGACTACTGGTGTTATCTTTGGTGTCTAAAGCCAAAATGTGTCATTTGCCTAAAAATTTCTTTAAATTTAGAATTCTAAATTAAGAGACTGGGGCATTTTGAAAAGTGAGAGGAATAATGGCTGCCTACCCAGGTGACTTCCAAGTCGGTTACAGAGAATGCTTTGGGGGGGGGTGTTACTTGGAAAACTAGATATGTTTGAAACAAGTTTATTTAAAATAGGAATTTCTATAAGTACTTTGTTCTACTTTAGAGATGCCCAATGTTTGCCTTTTTTAGCAGTAAGTGCTAGTTAGTGGACCCAAAAGTTTAGGCCTAAATTTTTTTGTATTGCAAATATAATTTGTTTATGCTGTTATTTATCATTTTAGGAATAAGACGTGTTGGAAGAAGACCTGATCAGCAACTTCAGGGTGAAGGGAAAATAATTGATAGGAGACCAGAACGGCGACCACCGCGTGAACGACGATTTGAAAAGCCACTTGAAGAAAAGGGTGAAGGAGGAGAATTTTCAGTTGATAGGCAAGATTTTTTAAAAATCTCTTCATGTTTTGTCAGTCTATAGAGTCATAGCTTAACACAAAGCTATAAATTGGTCATAATTGCCAGCAGTGTGGCTGGTTATGTTTATCAGTTTTTTTCAAAGAAACATCTGAATTTGTGCATTGTTATACATCAGACATTTCAATAGCAGTTTTTAGTGTTCAACCTTAGATTTCTTGTAGTGAAACACTTAATTGAATTGGTAGACAATTTCTTTTTCTTGCTATCCCCAGATGTTAACAGGAAAGTTCTGTTGAGCTGTTATAGCAAAACAGATTACTCATTATGCAGGTTAGATTTGTTTATTTTAATTATTAAGTGTATTGGTGGATAGCAGGTTTACTCTATTGTAATGTAAAATGAATAACAATTAAAAGAATGCACTAATAGTAGGTTTTAGACAATAAAAATACTTTTCTTGTTTTGGGGGTAGCTAGCTAGCTGCTTAGTTGTTTTGATTTCCTTTATGTGTTTAGAAATAGACTGTTTTGAATTTTCTAAAACATGTGTTTAACTGTTGACTTATGAGCCAATAAATGTATTCCTGTATTTTTGAGTATTTAAATGAATTTCCCTTTTTTTCTGGAAACCTGGGATGTATATAATCTTCGTTTGTTGTAGACCAATTATTGACCGGCCTATCCGAGGCCGTGGTGGTCTTGGAAGAGGTCGAGGAGGCCGTGGACGTGGAATGGGCCGAGGAGATGGATTTGATTCTCGTGGCAAACGTGAATTTGATAGGCATAGTGGAAGTGATAGATCGTAAGTCTTATATTGGTTTTTATTTTAGTTTTATATTTGATACTATTTTTTTAATAAAACAAAATTTGAATTTCTAGAATTAAAGAGTATTATGTTAACTCAGTTTTGTTAGTTCTTTCTCACATTACAGTGGCCTGAAGCATGAGGACAAACGTGGAGGTAGCGGATCTCACAACTGGGGAACTGTCAAAGACGAATTAACGTTGGTATTCTGATTTTTAAAAATAATCTTAATAAAACTGATCCTATACTTTACTAGAAGTTCACCCATAACTCTTAAATATTATTTGTCCCTGGGACAAGAATAGAATAGCTCTCATCTTACAGCTATTTCCATACAAGATAAAGTCTTGTTGGATATGTTTAGGTTACAGTCAAACCTAAACATATCCAATTGGTATCAAGTGACCAATTTTTCTATATTTTAGTATATATGATATCAGTTTTTTTCATATGGCTATATAGCTTTTCCTGAAACCCTTTGAAGTTGGGTATTCTGATTTTCTGTATCTTTAATAGTTTGTAGCTATTGACCCTTCTGGTCATTAACAAAAATTTGATAGGCCAGTGAGGCTTTGTTTTAAAACTAATTGTTCTGTCCTGCTGCTTTTTGAATAAAGTACTATAACTTGGATCAGTATACATTTTGAAGTTATTTCTCTTAAAGGTCTACTGGAGTATAAATTTAATAAGAAAAGACTTAGGGAATGTGAGGATTTTAAAATATTTTTGTGTAATGAATTCTTCAGCTACATGTAAATGGACCTAGATGCCTTTCTTTTTCTTTCTTTCCTTAGAGAGTCCCCAAAATACATTCAGAAACAAATATCTTATAATTGCAGTGACTTGGAGCAACCAAATGTGACTGAGGAAACACCTGAAGGTGAAGAACATCCAGTTGCAGACACTGAAAATAAGTAAGTGGTTTTATGTGTAGTGGTAATGCTCCATCACTGAAATCAGTTTGTGGATTTTTACCAAGAAAACCTATAGGTTTAATGCTGTTATTGTATGGCTTTTTAACAGGAGAGACTTTCATTGTACCCCAATTCCTTAAATAGTATTTATAGAGAGAAGTGCTTTACACAGGTATATATTGGTATATTGGGCTCTAATGATTTCAAAAATAAAAATGGTTATTTCTATTTGAAATTACCATTGTTGTCTTAAAAAGATAAGGAAGATACATATTTTAGTAAAACCTGCTAGCCCCAAGCACAAAAATTAACTATTGTAACCTCAAAATAGAGAATGGGAATAAGATGCCATGCATTTTGTACCTAACTAACCTTACTTAATAGAGATAACGGTAAGATATATAAGTAATGGACAATTCAAGTGATAACTGTCTAGAGATGTTGAATAGGTGAGAACTAAAATCTGAAATTGGGGGGTTTCTAAAAATTTGACCAAATGGTTGAAATAAGAGACATTGTAATATTTAGAACCCTTAGTTCAAAATACTTTGGACCCTGTAACTACAAGTTTTCTTTTGAGACAGTTTAAAATTTAAAAAGTGACCACTTTAAAATGAGTTCCTCTCTCTCTCTTAAATTTATTTTCCATCGTTGAATTTGGAACATAGCCTTACTGGCTTGTTTTAAAATGTATAACAAATGCCAGAATATGTTATTCACTAGCTTTCTTAATCTTTTGCATTTTCTGAGTTTTTAGGTAAAAGACTTGGTTTTGAAGTGTTTGTGTATTCAAGGGTGAGAGAGTTTTAAAGATTCAAGTTATGCTGGTAGAAATAATTTAACGCCTTCCTCTGGTTGCCACCAGTGAAGCAGAAATTACATGCCAGTCATTTCTTACAGTATTGTGGTTTAAAGTCTTGCATTATCGATTTAGGTCTAATTCTTAACCAGGGCATATTCAGATCAATCAGGGAAGAGATGCTCTTCTAAACTTTGTCTTTTCTTCAGGAAGAATTGCTCTTACAGTGAACTACGATTAATGATTAGAGTATCATATTCCATGGGTTTGTCGGAATAAGGAATAATAGATTTGCTGTTGGAGACAGTAGAAAAATATATGATGTTAAATGGTGTTGTTGAACTTAGGGTAATGTAAATTCATTTGTATGAAACTACATGAAATCATAATTTTGTTTGGTAAACAGTGAAATTGTGGTGCATGAATTAAATGACCCTTATGTAAGTAATAGTAAGTACTTCACAATGCTCAACACAGCTGTTGTTCCTTTAATAAGGAGCACATGTTTAAATCGCCTTAAGTGTTACCTGCAAAGATTATAAATGTCTGCCAGAAGGAAATCATGTATTTTTGATTGGGTATTGGAAACAAATACTTAATTCAGGACCCAGGAATGAAATTGAGGGTATTTGGTCTAAAGAAGATTATGATGATGGCATTAGAGCAGTCTACAGAGTAGGGGAGAATCTGAACATAGTATTGTATCTTGTATATGGAAATATAAATTTAAGAATCAGAGCTTGGCTGACTTTGACTCCCTTATATATAGTTTCCAGAGTTTTTGTTTGGTCTCAGTTGATCCTTAACAACAATCCTTGAAGGTAGGTGTCATGGTTCCATATGACAGAGTGTTCTGAGTTACGTTCTTGGCTATGTCACAACTTACGAGTAACTAGGACTTTTTCCCCTTCAGTTTTCTCATCTGGACCTGATAGCCAAATCTCATCAATTCAATGTAAACTTGAAGTTTTGAGGTAGGATTAGTCAACAGGTACAGAGCAGCATAGAAGGGAGATATTTGAGCTCCAAGGATAACTGGATCACCTGCTATCTTTGGAAAGAAGCAGAGCTCCCAAAATAGCAAACAACTTGTTTGGTGATAATTGGAAATTTAGATTAGACTAAAATAATGGATTTCTAGGCCCATGCTTGCTTTCTGCAAAAAGAGGAAATCATAATATGTAATAGTTATAATTTTGAGATTTACATTTGGAAATAACTAACTTGCTATTAAGTATTTAAACCAATATGCATTGTGGAGAGTTTCATTTCTAGTGAAACCTTAGTCTCCTGTCCACATTCAGGTTGGTTTGAAAGTTGGAATATATAGAGTCTAGGATTTGTATAAACTTGGCTTTTAAAGTTTCTTTTGTTTTGCCTTCAGTATTGCTAAAATAAAAGATAGAGGAATAGTTCTTTTTATATTCTAGAATATAAAGTGTGATTCACAGGCATTCGAGATGATTACTTTCCTGTATGTTATGTATTGTGGGAAATTATGGAAATTAAAAATGTTTTAAGAGAAGTTAGGCCAAAGATTTTAATTTACGAAGTGTCTATTTTAGCCCCACCTTGGTGGCTTGGTTGGAGTATTGTCCCATGCACCAAGGAGGTTGTGGGTTCGATTATCGGTCTGGGCACATACTTAGGTTGTGGGTTCAGTCCCAATCTATACAAATATGGGAGGCAACCAATTGATGTTTCTCTTTCTAAAGTCAGTAAACATCTTCTGGTGAGGATTAAAAAAAGAAAAAAAAAAGTATATTTTAGGTGTGATAAAGCCAATTCCAGACTGTATTAGTGATAGATGATCATTTAAAAGTTTATGAAGATGAATTGTATTTTTCTCAGTTACTTGTACTTTCACCAATTTAACAAGCATTGAATTCCTGGTGTCTACCAACTTGCATGTTAGCCATTGGGTTACAAAAATTATGATCCTCCCATCCTTGGATACTTTTCTCTAAAAGATTGACCAACCAAGATTAACTTCCCTATAAATAATACAGGTTTTTGTTAGCCACCTAGTAGGTATAAAATTTAAACATCTTTTCACAGGGAGAATGAAGTTGAAGAAGTAAAGGAAGAGGGTCCAAAAGAAATGACTTTGGATGAGTGGAAGGCTATTCAAAATAAGGACCGGGCAAAAGTAGAATTTAATATCCGAAAACCAAATGAAGGTGCTGATGGGCAGTGGAAAAAGGGATTTGTTCTTCATAAGTCAAAGAGTGAAGAGGTAAAATTAATTTTTGTGGTGGTTGAAAATTTTTTTAAATGTCTTGACAATTCAACACATTAATTTTTTTTTATCTGTTTATAAAAAAGAAAAGTTTTACATAGGCTCATTTGTGATAGGTAAATTGCTCAAAAAGGAAAATAAACTACATTATCATATAGTCTAAGAAATTTAGTCCCTTCTGTCAATCCATAATTATATTTAATGTAGTGACGTGCCCCCCCCAAAGGTGGTTAGTCAGTATATATCATACAATTACTATGTTTCAGAAATACAGTAGGTCTTTACAGAGTTATGATGATAGTTTTTAAAATCATGCCTAAATTCAAGGACTTGTATTAGATTAAAAGAGTGGCATGTTCATGTGGCTTAATCTAAAATAAAATTGAGTCGCTTTATTCAGCATTCAGTACTTGAAACTGTCTGCCTGCCATATGTAATGGTCAGGATTCTTCAATAAATGGTACTACCCTTTATTGAGGATGATGTAAATACTGGAGAGTTAATTTATAGGTTTCCTTTTCTTACAAAACATGGGAATTAATGAGAAAGACATGTTGGTGGCTTTTAATTTTGCAGCTTCTGTTTAAGCCTTGGGGCACATTCTTAGTGGAATATCCAGGTGCTACATCCTTTTAGGGCTTGTGTAAATATGAGATTTTAGTCATAAAGTTAAATTAAAATGTTATGAAGACATCCTGTAATAAAAAGATGCAGTAAGATCTTACTACATTTTAATTTTTTAAAAAAAGTTGTGAAACAAACATGGAAACATTTTGAAATAAAACAAGTTGAAGAGATTTAAATATTTTTCTAGGTTTACAGGTGATTTTTAAAAATACTGAGTCTATAAAAAATAGTATAAGTGAGGACATTGTCTTTTAAGTGTCAAGTCCTGCAGAAAAAAAACAGTTTGCTTCATTTAGAACACTTGGTTATTTTTTCATAGTTCTTGCAGGTACAGTTGTTTTGTGTATGTGTGTAAAACACATAGGATTCCAGATTAAAGAACCTTGAAAGTTCACCTTGGGGAGATTGTTGAACTAATTATTAAACTGCTTAGGTTAACATGAAAAAGATTTATTGGGTACCTTTGAGACAATTATTCGTAACTTTTGGAGGTCCTGACAGAACTTTTCTCTAGAATAAGACATGTACAAGATTCTGATATAATTTTAGGTGATTCATTAATATCCTAAAGCCTCTTCATGCATTTTATAGACATCAGGTTAGGTATCACAGTTTTAAGTATTATTTTATGGTGCACTTTTCAGAAATACACCAGGCGATGTTTATGATTTGAAATTTTTTGAAAACTATAAAATGTGAAATGGGTTATGAAAAACGTTAAAACCAGTACATTTTCATTATTAAGCCATGTTTATATGCTTTTCCAATTTATCCTACTAGTTAAAGGTTAGGGATGTATCCTGAACATCTAGACTTCCTTTATATTATTGAAGTGTAACCTTTTAGGTTGTTTCAGTAATATATCAAGTTAGATTTTTTTTTTTTTTTGCTTTTGTGCTCTAGAAACTTGTAAAAGCTTCTGATTGATAAATTGATACTACTTTGCAAGAGCAAACATTTAAAAATTAGACAAGTAATATATATAATTGACTTTAATTTGTTAGTGATTTTTTGGATTTACATTCACTTTTTAGGCTTCTTTAAAATAAAGAACCTTCTATTACCTTTAAATTAGGTTGGCCTGACACTAAGAGATGACAATTCGGTATTAGGTGATTAAAGGGGTGAAAGCATAGGTACAGTTATAGCATTTATTTGTACTGTAAGGGTAGTTATTGATGATTGTAATATTATAAGATACTTCAAAAGAACAAAATATTAAAATTCCTCCAGAAAAGAGGAATATATGTAGGAAAATTAAAATGTACTTTAATGTCTAAGAAAGTTTCCAATTCGAAGATTAAAACTCATTCATCCCAGATATATCAGAATTCAGGCATTAAGCAGTATAATATTCTCTGGCTGGTTTTTTTTTGCAGACTGGGTCTTGGAGCTTATTACATAAATATAAAGTAGGATCTGGATTTCACAAACATGACTATTTCATTTTAAGATGGTTCCTTTGATAAATTTAAGGTGTGGTTTTATTTGGGCGCAGCTTTTCAAGGTTCCCTTATGTAAAGTTGTGATTCACTTGAATCTGTAGCGCTCCAGTTTATATGAAAGACCATATAAAAGTTGTATATGAACAGAATGGCATTCCGAGAAGTCTACACGCAATTCTATATTTTTCCGAAGATATAAAGCAGAAGTTTTTTTTATAAAGAGATTTAGAATACTACATCAATAATAAGAACCTTACATGCTATCTATCCATGTCTTTATCAGGGGTTCCTTTATGGGAATCCTAATCTGAGGAGCATAAATGTACTGCTAAAGATTAGGATTCATTAGGTTTGAGGTGGGGCCCAGCCGCTTGAATGGCTGTGATTATATACCTGTAATTGAGACTTGCCAGTATCACCTGTAATTTCAAGTTAAGAGAATATGAAGGAGAAAAGTGAAAGGAATTCTTCCACTACCACTATGGCTGATCCCAAAGCTTATTATCTATAGTGGTTTTGAAATATTTGTTCACATAAAGTGCAGATAGGATGTTTGGTCTTTTAAGAAGAAAGCTCATTTAGAAATTTGGAACATTGCTTTTCTAGTAATCACCCAGTGGCCTTTACTTAAAATTTTAGGCTCATGCTGAAGATTCGGTTATGGACCATCATTTCCGGAAGCCAGCAAATGATATAACATCTCAGCTGGAGATCAATTTTGGAGACCTTGGCCGCCCAGGACGTGGTGGCAGGGGAGGACGAGGTGGCCGTGGGCGTGGTGGACGTCCAAACCGTGGCAGCAGGACTGACAAGGTAATTTTTAAAGACTTCTTTTGTTCTTTTAAGTAATTCAGGGACCTCTTTAGGTAGGTTCACTGCAGGGGGTCCTTTTGGAAACATAAGTAGAAGGAAAAAAGGTAGACATCTTTAAGAAACTACATGTTAGCCCAGCTGGTGTGGCTCTGGTTGAGAGTTGACCCATGAACCAGGAGGCCACAGTTGATTTGCAGTCAGGGCACATGCCCGGGTTGTGGGCTCGAACCCCAGTAGGGGGCATGCAGGATGCAGCTGATCAGTTACTCTCATCATTGATGTTTCTATCTCTCCTCCCTTCCTCTCTCTGAAATCAATAAAAACGTATTTTTAAAAAAAGAAAGAAACTACATTTTAGGCCCTGGCCAGGTACTCGGTTAGAATGTTCTCCCTATATGCCAAGCTTGGGGGTGGGATCCCTGGTCAGGGCACATAAAAGTACCAACCAATGAATGCATAAATAGTGGAACAAAAAATCTGTCTCTCTCCCTTCCCCCCTTTTGCTCTCTAAAATCAATAATTTTTTGAAAAAACAACTACTTTTTAGGTTATATTTTTGTTTAAAGTGCTTAAAAGACTGAGTAGTGCTGCCAGTAGAATGAAATGATTGTCTTTTATTGAATACTTAATCAGGTGCTGGTCATGGTGCTGTGCTAGGCGTTTTATGTGCTATATTATTTAATTCGTGTTACTATGTTAGCATCCCCATTTTGCAGCAGAAGAATTCAATCACAGGGAACCAAGTTAAGTCTTGGCCTTTGACAGTTGTCTACTTGAAATGCCAACTACATCCTTTGCATTGACTCTTCACTGCTTTTTACGTCTTAGGTTAACATAACCTTTGTGTCCATTGTATAATTGTGTGAAACTCGGTACTGATGATCTAGTGAACACCTTTTTAGTTCTTGATTTTTAAAAAAAAATAGTTTTATTGATTTCAGAGAGAGGAAGGGAGAAGGGAGAGAGAGAGAAACATTAATGGTGAGAGTCATTGATTGGCTGCCTCTTGCACGCCCCCTTACTGGAGTGTCGAGTCCCCAACCCAGGCACGTGCCCTAACTAGGAATGGAATGGTGACCTCCAGGTTCATAGGTGGATGCTCAACTGCTGAACCATGCCAGCTGGGCAGTTCTTGATTTTTTTTTTTTTAAACTAGACTGTTACGTAAGAACTGGAATTCATTTTTGTCGTAGTTTATCTAGTGTACAGCCATAATGTCCTCCTGAATTCCCAACACCTGATACACAAATTGGGGGGCCTTGATTGGGTCTGCCAGTATTTAATTATAGTGGTATCTTAAATATTACAGATTTTATGGTCACCAGTAACAATGTAATGATATTTTGTTTCTGTTTCTTCCTCTGATATCAGGTGTTTTTAACAGCCAATGTTATGTATATGGACCTTTTCAATACTTTTGGGGCTTTTTTGTTATTTGTACATTGTAAATGGCAGTTGGGTCCCATTCTAACATTGATGAATGTGCTGCTTAAATAAATGTAATCCGTTTCTTAGTTTTCAAATTGATGCCATTCTTATTTAGCAAGTGGGAAAAATATAGGAATGCTTAACAACAAAGAATCTATAAACACATCCCATATGAATCGACTTGTGTGATTTGTTAGAAAAATAACCCATGCTGTTACTAAGGAATTTTCCTAGGTCTTGATAGAAATGCAGGACAAGGCTCATTGCAAATGTTTGTGGTCCTGTTCTGACCCAGAATTTTGCCTTTAAAGATTTGACACATTTTACTTAGTATTTTAACTTCAAGATATTTTAGAATTCTGTGTCTAAATGTAGACACTGGCAGTTTATTTTTAAGATTTGAGCATTATTCATTTTAATTTGTTTCTTTTTCAGTCAAGTGCTTCTGCTCCTGATGTAGATGACCCAGAGGCATTCCCAGCTCTGGCTTAACTGGATGCCATAAGACAACCCCGGTTCCTTTGTGGACCCGACTTCTCTGAGGTTTTGCATGCTTAAGGATCCCAACCGACTAAGAAATTAAAAAAAAAAAAAAAAAAAAAAAAAAAGACTGTCATTCATACCACTCACACCAACAGACTGAGTTTTATCTGTTTTGAAAATGAACTTCTCTTGCTCCACAGAAGTAACAATATGGTAGTCAGTTTTGTATTTAGAAATGTATTGGTAGCAGGGATGTTTTCAGAGATTATGCATTCTTCATGAATATTTTGTATTGCTGCTTGCAAATATGCATTTCCAAACTTGAAATATAGGTGTGAACATGTGTACCAGTTTAAAGCTTTCACTTCATTTGTGTTTTTTAATTAAGGATTTAGATGTTCCCCCAGTTACAAACCGGTTTTAAATATTGGAATAATATCAGTTTTACTACCTGCTTTGCATTTACACACATGGTCAACTGGGACATGTCAACTCTGATTGTCAAAAGTTATGCTGTGTGGAATACTAACAACTTTATGTATTTTAACTTAGTTTTAATATTTTCATTTCTGGGGAAAATATCTTTTCACTTCTCATGATAGCTATTATATGCTAAATCTTTATACAGAAATATCAGACTTGAACAAATTCAAAGCACATTGGTTTACTAATCCTTGCTCCTGCTTGGTTCATTAGGTTCAAATTATAATTGATTGACAATTTCAACTATATTTTAAAGTGTGTGACTTTCCCATTTTAAAAACCAAACTAGACACCTTACTGTCTAGTAGAAAGTTGTTTAAGCTACTTATTGTTGATAAACACATCCTGTCAGGTGAAGTAGTTTTATGAGTGTTGGGCTTTTCCCCCCCTCCAACAGGGTGGGTATAACAAAGTTGATTTGGCTAATGCGTAATATTTAAACTGCATCTGGCCACTCAGTATGATTTGTGTGTGAAAGGTCCCAAATCAAAATTGTATACCCATAATCAATGACCCTTTATCCTTTCCTGTTCTAAAGAAACCAAAGGGCCTGGTTAGTATGGTAAGATGCAGAGTGTTACTTTTTGGAATTTGGAAAGCAGACAGCTTTACTTTGTAAGGTTGGAACAGCAGTACCATCCATGAAATATAAACCAAAAGTCTTATTGTTGCCGAATTTCTTATATTGCTATTAGTTTTGGTCTTAAGTTGATATGTGACTGTTCCACAGAAGGTGATAAGTATCTTTTACCTCTTCCTGCATTAGAAAATTAGGTTATAATAATGGATTCCTGAATGGGACCGTCAGCGCACTTAGTAACATGATCAATAAACAGGTTTTCTAGGATTTTTTTTTTTTTTTAGTCTTCTGCCATATTTATTGTTAAGCAGAAAAATTTATTTACAGTTTTAAAGATTTTTTTGTCACTCATTAATTTTCAGTAATTTTCTACCTATGTGTGGTAATGTTCAGTTTTTAAAATATTGAAAATCTTAAGTCATAAAATGTCTGCTGTTTGCTGACTAGTTCTCCCATATACTTCCAAAACAGAGATTGTATAGTACAAAAGTTATTCATTTGAATTAGATTTATTAACCTAGTTACCTACTAGTTTGCCATGTTAGGAAGGAGGCAATTGGTTTTAAATGATGGATAACTTGTGCTGGTGTTTTGGATCTTATGATGCTGAGTGTGTTCTGTACTGGTGCTAATGTCTAATATAATTTTATATTTACAAACATACCTGCTACCCAGAGGCAAATATTAATTTAGTCCATATGGACTATTGACCCCTCCTAAGTTAGTGTATTTGGACTTTCAAGTATCTTAACTCATTTCTGGACATGTAACATGTTTATAAACCTCTTGATTTCTAGCAACATAGAAAACACCTGCTATTAAAAACACTTCACAAGCTCCACTCACTGTCAGCCATTGCTGGCATTCTGTCACTAAAGAATAGACAGCAATATCTGATATGTTGCAAGCTTTCAAGATAGCCTGAACTTCTAAAAGTTGGTCCATTAGTTGTATCTGATGGATGTAAATTTGCCTCCTAGTTCACTTTGTGTCAAGAGCTAAAACTGTGAACCTAACTTTCTTTTATTGGTGGGTAATGACTGAAAATAAAGATTTTATTTTCATGCTCACTTCTTAAAAATCATAAAAACAATCAAATAGGAACCCATTTATCGTCATGTGTTTTCTGACCTGTGTGTGCATCCCAAAGATCATGCTCGTATTTCATTTTTCCCCTTATGCTTAGATTTTGTTTATGTGGGAGGGATGCCTGTTTTAATGAGTATTATAATTAGAAAGTTGAATTCTTGTACAGTGAATTTCAAGGACTGACCTTACAATTGACATTTCTCTTAGCAGATCACATTTTGAACGCAGAGGTTAATCATACTGAACATCACTGTTTTTTGAGGGGAGGGAGGAAATATTAAGCAGGGTATAATACTCTAAAGAAAATCCCTTAATGAATACAGATCCATAAATAATAATGGTGGCTGGCTGAATGTTTTAAATGGGAATAATGTCAGAATTTGTTACTTCATATCTTTTCAGCTCGCATTGAAATGATTGGGATATGTTTTGTTTTTTAGCTTAAATACTATTTTGAGACCTCTGGAGTTAGGAAAGATTTAAAATTGTGTCACTAGGTACTATGCATCTGGTTACTTTACTGTTATTTTAAAGTGGAAGGAAGGTAGGACATCTGGGGTTGTAATATATTTGGGGCTTTTTTTTTTTTTTTGGCGTGGGTTTGGAGAGAATGTCTAAAGTACTCAGTGTCTTGTTTTTCTTATAGAGATGGTTGCACTGAAATTTTAAAAATGTTATAAGGGAGTTGCATACCAAGTCTAAATATTACATATTGGACTTTAAAATAATCTTTAAGAGCACTAGCGTTGTGTGGAAGGAACCAACAAGTATTCAAGGTTAAAAAAATTAAGGAGAAATGTGAAACTGCTGGGACTTGATATTATGGACATCTATCCCAACATTTAAGTAACTGGTTTTGTAACAAATCCTCAGGCTCTCAGGTGCATGTAATTCTACTTTTTAAGGAAAGTTAATAAGTTAATAGAGGCTTAGAAAATAGATTCTAACCCAAACATTTGTAATTCTGCCGAAATAACATGTAAAAAGTGTTTATTGAGTCTGAACCTTATAAACCAGATTGCCATGTTAACTGGAGAAAGCCCAGAACTTGATTACCGTTTTGCTTTGAAGAGTATATATAATGATAATCAGTAAAGTGATTTCTAATTAAACTTCAGTCCTAGTAATTAGTGAAGTAATTTGACATTATTTGCAAAATTGTCAGGTTTTATTTAGATATAGTGTGTCAGCTTTCAGAAATTTGGGGTCAGTTACTTTTTGCTTAGCCTGGGTTTACTTTGGACATGTTCTCTCAATTTGAAGTCTTGACTTTGTAGTTAGAAAAATAGGAAGTTTATATATGAGAAGTGATTAGAATAAGTCTGTTTCAGGCTGAGAAGGGATTCACTAAATAAAGAATATAGTGAAAGGTTGTAACCTAAAGAATTAGCAGCTTTATTTCAGAAAGTAATTAGGATATAAAGATAAATTATTAAAGCCATCAAGATTTTGGCCACAGAGGAAAGTTACTAGCATGGAAATGAGTGTTATTTAAATAAGTGCTATATCTCAGCTAGGGGTCTGCAAATTTTCAGCCTGTGGCTTGTTTTTATACAGTCCCTGAGTTATGAATGGCTTCTACATTTTTAAAGGATTAGAAACAAAACTACAAAGATGTATGTAGCCCACAAGGCTTAAAACATTATCTGGCCCTTTATAGGAAATGTTTGCTGAATCCTGATCTAAGCTATCACCCCTAGGTCAGCATATAAGAGTTCTTTTAAAATAAAAGTTTCATTTTAGGTACAAATTAAAATCATACTACCCTGTGGGAAGCTGTGAAATCAGAAGTATTTTCAAGCAAATTTTTTTGCTACTTGGGATAAGGGCGAAAAGATCTGTTAGCCATCTAGTAAAGATGGTCCTGTTATTTTAAGATTATGTAGCTTGTAATTTAAATATGTTCTCCTGAAAGCTGTTAAGGAAAGTATAAATTTGCTATAAAAGTAAGTTTAATGCCATGGTTACAGTTTCATGATTCACGTTTTAGTGGCACTTTTTGACATTTAAGTGTTAAAGTCTTTCTGTTGTAATTAATATTTCCTGAGATGAAGTTTCTGAATGGGTAAGGAAACAAATATCTGTTGATTAACTCCTAACTTGGTAGATTGAGCTAGGACAGGAATGAATGACTTCTGAGGACTATTTCTCAGCTTTATTAGGAGGCTATCCATTTGGGCAGAATTTAGCTTTTGTGTTGTTGATTACTTTTATATTGAATAACTGGGAGTCAGTTCACTTCTAAATGGAAGGAAAGAAAAGGTGAGAAATGGCCTATACAAGTTAGAAAATAATTTGCCAAATTGTTTTTGTTTGAGGTGTTATGTAGGTACTTAGTTTCAAATCAGTAACCTTTGTCCCTTTTGCTGCCCATTTGGGAGGGTGTGAGGGTGTGGCAGTTCCTGGTACACTTGTATGTGTATTCTGAGTCTTGTGCACATAAGACAAAGTAATATGAGAATTCTGATTCATTATGGATTTTTAACCTATTTAGATAATTGAATCATATCAGTTGAAAATTGCTCTGAACTGATCTTGCTGTGGCATGATTCCTTGAATAGCTATATTTCTGGTATGGAAATGTGAACAGTGAAGGGTTAATTAATATTCAGGATTTTGGTATTTGTTATTTGGTGAACTGAGTAGGGAAAATGGGAAGAAACTTAGCTTTAGGCATTATTGTTTGTACCACCTTAATTGCAGTTGTAGCTGATTTACTGAACAGATTTAGGAACATAAAAAGACATCTAATTTGAAGAAATGGCATTGGTTTTCATCTACCTAGAAGATTCTTTATAAAGTGGTCCAGCTGAACTTTGTTCTTGATATTTGACTGCCTAGAATTTCGTCATATTGGACTTAATTTTTTTATTTAGCTGAATTTCCAGTGAATCTTCCACTCTTCTCAGTAAAAAAAGAATTTTCCTACAAACTACAAATAATTTGATTTCAACTTGATCTTGTGTACATGTACACAAAATGTACATGTAGAAGGCTTCACTTAGGTGTTAAAGTTAAGGAGTTTTTGAGGAATACATGGGAAGACTGGATTGGGTAAAACTACTTTTAAGACCTGTTCATTGGTCACTAGTTGGGGGAAAATGACGTACCTACCAGGTAAGGTTTGTACTACAGACCACTGTATTTTGTTCATAACAGTATCCTTTGAAGATTGAGTGGCATTTTGTCACTCCATATCAACAAAATCCAGTAGATCTAAGTGTTTTTAACAATTGGGCTGACCTCCCTGCCTTTTGAGTCAAAAGGTAGAACTGGAAGTCATGTTCACTGAAGTAGAGAAGTGCTTTGGATGCTGTGTAAATGCTAAGTGAAAGTAATTACAGGTCATCTGAGAAATAAATTCAGGAAAATGGATAAAGCTTATTAAGGAAAAAAAAGCCACTATACTGTTGGTTGAGGAACATAACTAGCACCTCCCAGTTACAGGAGAGCATTAATGTGTCGTCGTGTCGTCGTCCCCCCCCCC